CAGCCCTGGTGGTCATGGACTCACCTTCTGAACCATAAGCCCCCAATAAATTCTCTATCTCTCTTCTATAAGCTGCCTGGCCATAGTGTCTTACCACAGCAACAGAAAAATAACAAGACCTTTCTGCTGCTGCCATAGCGCTCGAGATAACACAACTTAAAAGACCTAAATTTTTCTTTTGGCTCACGGTTTGGGTCTGTCATGAGGCCACTGTACTGACAGTGCAGGACAACACAGCTCCTCAGATCATGGCAGGCAGAAGACTGAGAAGGAGCCGCATAGGTCCCAGTACACACTTTAGGGAAGTCCCCAGAGGCCTTACATCCTTCTGTAATGCCCAGCTACTGAAGGTTGCATCTCTTTCCAATAGCACCATCAGCTGGGGACCAAGTCTTCAATACAGGGCTTGTTTAGGTTCCAAACCATAATGAGTAAAACTCTATCCATTTAGTAGTCCCTTCTCAATCTCCCTTTCTCTGTCCCTGGAAAACTCTAGTCTGTTTCGCATCTCTATGGATTTGCCTCTTCTGGACGTTCCACACAAACAGAGCCATACCCAGTGGAGTCTTTTGTGACTGGTATGTGTTTAAGGTTTACCCTTTTTATTATCAAACACTGGTCCATTGCATGAACAAACCAAAATTTGCTTAAGGATCACCTATCACCCCACAGTTCTTTTCCTGTTAACCCCTTTTCTTGTTAACGTGCTGCTGGGAACATCTGCATCTAAGTGTTTTGTGCAGACATTCTCTTGAACATCTATCTAGGAGAGAATTGCTGGGTATCTATTGATTTTTGTAGGGTGTCACATGATCTTGTTTACACACTGAGCTAGGGAGCCTGGGAGGTGCTGGGAGCGAGCGAGGCTATTTCCTTCAGCGTTTCTCACTCTGATTGGCAGGATCCTATCACTCTCGCTAACCTGGCTTCCCTGGGACACTTGCTGACCATGGAGCGGATCCGAAGTGTGGAGCTCGGCTCCTCGCCTGACTGGTTTAGGGTCTCCTCTAGTCAGGGATGGTCTCTTCACGCAGACTCCTTCACTGCTTCTCCAGTAATCCAGGGCTCAAAACCAACCCAGCGGAGGAAGATGAGAAGCAAGCAGCATTCAGCTCCAAGACCGCCAGCACTGGCTGCGGCTCTGCCCTCTGAGCTTCCGCGCAAGCGCGGCATCCCAACCCCCAGCGAGGAGGCGGGGAGTGGGCGGGGCTGGCGTCCTCCAGGCCAATCGAAAGCGAGCGCCCCCGCCCTCGGCGCGCTGTGGACCGAGCTTGACCCCGGTCGCGAACTGGGGGGCGTGGCCGCGGAGGGGGCGTGGTTGCGGGCTGGAGGCGGGTCCTGGGGCTGTCAGTCGGCGCCCGCCGCCGCTGCTGCTCGCACGCCGGGCCTCCGGAGCCGCCTCAGCCCAGCACAGGTAAGGCCGCCGCGCTGCAGCGCCGTCGCGTCTCTGGGGACCGCTGTCCGCGTCCGCGGGCCGTGTCAGCGCCGCGCCGCCCAGGGGGCGGGTCCACGGCCTCCCCTCCCCCACGACGCCCCTCGGACCCTGACTGTCCGCACGCTTGCGGGGATGCGGGGTGGGGGCTCTGTGCTCTCACACCTGTCCCTTCGTTGCGCTGGCGGGCAGTTCTTGGAGACCCCGCGCAACCCCGGGCGGGGAAAGTTTGTTGACATCCGAGCGCCGCGGGGAGCGGGCGGCTGAGCCGCGGGGATGCGCCTTGGGCAGCAGCGCGGCCGTGGCCTGGGTGGCCCGCGTGGCTCGGGTCCAGAAGTCCTGCTGAGAGCCGCGCGGGGTCCGAGGCTGCTGCGGGGCGCGGGTCTCCGCGTTAGCCCTGGTCTCAGCGCTCTGTCCCCTCCTCGTGTTTTAGCGTTGATATTTAGACGCGGTGGGCGAATTTACTTCGCTTTTTCCTAATACCTCATGTTTGTGAGGTGCCTTGCCAGGCCTGATTAGTTAATTAACAAGGTGGGAAAAGCAAGATAGATCCTGATATGAATGGTCAGTGCCTTGCCTTCAGTAACTCCTTAAAATCCGCTTAGAGTACTGGCGGTAAGAGAGGTTTTTGGCCAAGGACAGCCCCGGAGTCTTCTGGTTGCTCCAGAGGGCTTAGGTACTCCGTGCAACGCTGTCCCTATGTATGGAGGCTCTAAGGTCTAAGGAAGGCTCTCTAGTTTTCTAAACATAAGCAGAGGAGGAAATGGACACTGAGGAAGCAGTCTACCAAAAAAAGAGGTTCAAGTAAGTTTGGCCCCGTGTCTGCTACCAGGTTACCCGTCCTGAGCAGTAAACCTCTCCTCTTCCTCCTCCCTCTCTGCCTTCCCAGGAGGGTTGTATACACACGGTAGGCACGACTGATTCCCCTTTCAGCCTGAAGACCTCTTGTTACCTGTACTCTTACCGACCCGCCTAGGGACATCCTCTCAAAAAGGCTTAATTAACACTTTCATCTGCCCATTAAGCAGTGGACCTTGAAATCCTTTGTAATCAGGCGCTGTTGTAGTGCCGAATCTTTAATAATACCTAATTCATTTTAATAGTGTTTCTATAATAACCTTTCTATTAGTATGCCAGCCTTGCAACACCAGGACTGTGTTAGAAGCAGCAATTTACTAGAAATATTGTCACAGCAAAAAAAATCTAACAGATTTGCAACCCACGTTACTTAGATAATTACTGCTAGGGGGCATAAGTTATTTTTCTTTTTAATATTTGGTGCAGTAGGTGTTACAGTGGTTTTGATCTCTGAGGTCTTTCTGAGGTTGTTTGTCCCAGTAGAGATGGTGTCAGCCCCTATGAAACTTGATTTATTTTTTGATAGAAATCATATGAGTTCCATGTTCCATACTGATACCTTTTTGGGCAAGACTCTGAACTAATATCATTTGGCTTTGTTTTTCTGACTTATATCATTTGGCTTATATCAAAACGAAGATTTTTTAAAACATATTTAGAGGGGTCTATTAAAGCCCCATTGATGTTGATAGCATATTTTATTATTAAAACATAACTTTATGGGGTTTTATGTAAACCCCATGATTTCCCTACTGAGAAGGTTCAACTGGTACTCCACATTTCAGACAAGGAGTCTGAGGCCCGTTGTTTAATTCAGGTCGGACAATGAAGTCACAGATTCTAACACTGGTAGCCTGAGTTCAGAGTCCAAGGCCAGCCAGTGTGTGGTCGTGCCTCTCCAGACCCCTCTTTCCACAGGTATTGATCTCTCCTTGCTGTTCACACAGTGTCACATTCTGCACCACAGGGAGGAAGTGGGTACTTCACAGCATCGCATCAGCACTCGGGTAGGAGTTCTTATGACGTTCTCCATGTTGCCACCAAAATTCTATGATCTTGAGACCAAACATCATCTTCCTCCCTTCCATCGCTTCGCCCATGGGATAGCAGTCAAGGAAGCAGATAAGTTAGCTATCCTTAATCCTGGGAGCTGGAGCGATGAGTTAGTACACACAGACCTGAATGTCCTCTTTCTTAAGCAAGCAGAAGATCCAGTATGAATGGTTAATATGTATGTGGATGAGGAACAAGAACTGGAAGGCTATACAGTGGAAGAGAGGCTTCACTTTGTAAAGCATTGTTTTTTTTTTAATTATATTTATTTATTTATTTTTGTGTGTGTGTGGAAGAGACTTGAGGACAAGATTCTTACCTTTCACCACATGGGTCCTAGGCATTGAACACAGGTCATGAGGCTCACTGCAACTGCCTTAGAGCCATCACACTGGCCCACATTGTTACTTTTATAATAATAACCCAAAGAGCAGTAAAGCCAGAAGAGAGTTAATTCTATAGATTTGGGATAGCATGTGTGGTACTGTGTAAGAGGCATCTGTGAGGAACCCTTGGCATTGGCATCATTTTGCAGGAGACAGATGATGCCAGGACCTAAACTACAGACCAGTGGGTTCCCAGAATCATGATATATAGGTTTTGGAGGATATGTTAAAAGCCATTTAGGAGGCTGGGGAGATGACTTAGTGGGCAAAGTACTTGGTGTGCAAACATGAAGACCTGAGTTCAGATGCCCAGCACTCACATAAAACAAGGATGTGTGCCATGACCACTGGGGTGCAGACATGTGGATCCTGGGGCTCCTGGCCAGGGCTGGGAATGTAGCTTAGTGATAGAATGCTTGCCTGATGTGCACGAGGAGCCAAGCTAAGTTTCCAGTGAAGATATGATAGAGAGGTATAAAGTGATGTCTCTATCTCTGTCTGTCTGTCTGTCTGTCTGTCTGTCTGTCTGTTCTAGTTTGAGGGATGGGAAATTGTGGTTTGTGCTCTTGAAAGACACTCTGTTGTCAGTATAAATGAAAAGGGGATTAGAGGAAAGATGCTAAGCCAGAGAGACATTAGGAAGCCAAGGCTAGAATCCAGGATGTGGTAATCTAGGGTGAGACAGGCGGTGGCATAGGGTGGATCTAGGAAGAAATAGACCCAGATGACAAGCCATGCACACAGCAACTGCCTGCCCGTAACATCAGGAATACGAGAGGACAGAGGCTTGTCAGATCCACTGATGGAGTTGACAAGTTCCAGAAGCCATTCTGCATGTGTATCCCCAAAGCTATATGTTAGGGTGAGGCTAATGAAAAGCCTCTACAGAAGATAGGTTTCTTTCTTCACGTGAAGGGAGGGTACCACTTAGTTTGAGTGGGAAACTCCCTCTGTGTAGTGAAGAAACCTTGGTATCCCCCGTGGGGGCTGCTGTCTCTGATGCTGGCTGGCTGTTGTACTTCTTGGCTAAGCCAATACTGGTTATTCTAGTCTCTGAAGTGTGGAGGTGGCAGAGAGTAGGCCCTGAACCAGAGCAACGGTCTCACTACCCCATTTAATGATGGAGGAAGTAGGCGTGAAGAGTCGGGGTGTAAAGGCTATTATTATTATTATTATTATTATTATTATTATTTTGATGTTATTGCCCAGAGAAGGAGTAGAGAGATATGACTGTTTTGAAGTGGAACCATTAGAACACATTGGCATTTTTTTTTCCTGATTTGGTTGGAGAATGTTCTTGTGGGGACTCTGTCCTCCAGCGACCCTCTTAAACCTGTGCTGGAGAGCCGGTGTGCGTCATGGGCTGTGCTGGGAAAGCCGCCGGGGAGCTTGTCTTTCCAGCTGAAACTCAGATTGTGTGGTGCTCCATGAGGCTGGGTGAGATGTTTGGATGACCACACTGACTGGAAAACAGGATAATGTGGGGGAAGCAAATGAGATTTGCACAGGAAACCGCAAAGACAGAGGATACGGTTGGGAATGCTGAGTTCACTTTTCTCTTGGTACTTTACATATTTCTGGCTTAGAATGCAACGTTTCTTAAATCTTCATATTTATAAATTCATATGTTGAAATATATTGTCTAATTATGTGGGAACAAACAGTATAAATCTCTCTTTCTGTCCCCCTTCCTTCCCCTCTCTCTCTCTGCTCAAAGACTTCAGTTTTGCTTTTTCAATCTCGGTTAGACTGGTGTTTGTCCACAACTTCTGATTTTGTCCCTCCCCCATTTGGTAATATCCAGATACATGGTTGGCTGTTACAGCTAGGAATGGTCTATATGCTTCCTGGCAGTTAGTGGGTAGAGACCAGAGATGCTGCTGAACATTCTAGGACACACAGCACCATGTTTTCCCCAACACAAAGAACCATGCAGCCCAACATGTCATAGTCTTAAAGGTGGAGAACATCACGATATGTGATTATGCAGATTCTCATCAGGAGCAAGCTGAGGTTAAGGGAAGAGGAAGGGGAAGAAAACAAAGTGTTCCTTTCCCTCTTTGGAGTGTCACATCTGAAATCCAGAAGGAGACCCAGCTAAGTGAGCTGCCACCGGGGAGCTCTCTCAATAGCTTGATTGCTCAACTCGGTAGTTTGGAACAGGAAGTGGAGGCCCTTGCAGCAGCAAGAGGCTGGGGGTGGGGGGGGGATGATTTGTGGAGGCATTCGGGTTTATATGCTGGGAAGGGCTGCTGGGTCCCATCAGAACGAGCTTTTAAAGTTCTAGGCGAGTTTTCAAAGCTTGTCTTGTTGAAGACATCGAGTGTGGTGCTTGGAAGATACAGCCTCTCCTGTGGCAGTGCATGGCCTTGTGGAAGGCTGTGGACCTGAAGGCCCGTGTACTTTCTGGATTGTCCAGACAAGATAGCCAGCAGCATTAGTTTGTTTTCAGGTTGATTTGTCCTCTCCCCACTTCCCCTTCACAACCATTTTTAATTATAGAAAATGTTAAACATATATAAAAATTGAGAACATAGTGTAAATCCTGTCTGTATACTGTCCATCTTTAGTGATTGTCACTTACTGACTAATTGTGATCTTCATACCATGTCTGAATGTCCCCTCTCGCTTTCCTGGTCTTGCGGATCAAACCACAGGTCTTGCACATACTAGACAAGCTCTTCCATTGGGCTACATCCCTAGACTATTTTATCCTCCCCCCTTTTCTTAAATGTGGATAGAGAGTAAAAAGCTTCTAGTCCTCTGCTTGGGCAGTCAAGGAGATAGTAGTTTTGGATTCTTCAGTCTCCCTAGAGGAAAGCCAATGAGGGAACATGCCACAGTTAGACGAGCCACGAGGGCCTGACTGTAATAGGAATAGGCTAGGTAAATTAGGCATGGGGCTGTGAGGGTGGAGCTTGGCTCTTCTTGGTGAGTGAGCACAAGCTGTCAGGGACAGTTCATTTCTTTTGAACCCCCTGGCTAGAGAAGCTTACCTGGAATGCTCTCCTGGCAGAATCCCACGTAAGGATCTAGCCACAGAGGCTTGTGTTTCTGGAGACAGCTTAGATATGGTCTCCTTCCTGTTTCACTCTGGGCATGCATGGGTAGAGAGCGCTGAGTGTTCAGGACAGCCTCTGGCTCCCTTCCGATGGCTTTGCATGGAGCAGCTCCTCTCTAGAAACATAAGCTGGAGAGGCAGGCAATTCATAGTCTGAGAGGCCCTTTGTGGCAGTCACTCTATCCTTGCATCTGCAGCAGAGGAAGGCCTCCTCCTGCAGCCTCAGTAGCCCACCCCACGCAACGACAGCCAGCTCTGCAGTTTACTTTGCATTGCAGCTTGCTTTTCTCAGCAGCGTCTCCCTACCTGAAGAGCCATTGGTTTAGGCCATCAGGGCCTTGGCATGCCTTTACTTGACCCAGCGTGGTGTTGTAATCTACACGTAAAAATGGCTTCAAGAGTTGAGAGAGTTCTTGAATAATCATTTAATTAATGTCTATGAATTTTAATTAGTATGGGTTTCTACAGACCTTGACCTCCCAGACCAAGTTCATGAGCAGTTATATTGGCATGGAGACCTGGGTCCCTGTAGAGCTGTGTTTTCTGTTCTTACTTTGTTTACTGAATGTAATTACCCTCTCCTCATTCCACAGAAGGTCGTGTGGTGTTAGCTTGCCATGAACACTCTGTGTAGTGTGGTTCTTAGCTCTTCATGTCTGGGGCAAAGTGGCTTGTCTGCTTAGTTTCTAGTGTCTGGTCTGTGCCAGGGTCACATGCCAACCTCATTACTTACATTGACTCTAATCTTCCGATATTTTCTAGGTAGGAATCAGGATTCCCATTTTATAGATGGGCAAACCGAGGAAGGTTTAAGAAGGCTCAGGGTGTAGCACTGGACCTTAACAGATGCTTTGACTATAAATCCCAGGTGATTCCCACACAGCCCTTCTCACCCTCACAGCTCAAGTTGGTGGGAGACTGACAGGTTAGTGGGGAGATGGAGGCAAGTGCCATGGAGGGGGACTGAGAGTTATGTTTACTGAAGTAATGAAATCTTCACACTGAGGCCCCTGGGAAACATTGCTTTTGAGTGTGGCAAATTGCCTACGTCCTATTTTAGAGTAGACTATATAAAGCAGAAGTTGCACAGGGGTAGCCCTGAGCCGGGTTCGGCCAGCAGATGTGTTTTATATAGTTGATAGAGTTTTTCTTAATTACAAAATTGCATTAGTTGTCATCGTGTAGAGTGTGAAAGTGGGAGCCTTGGCCTTTCTCAGGCACCAGGTCTGCAATCCTGTCCAGAACCGCCTAGCAGCTGCTGTCGCTGGGTACAGCGAGGTCTCCACTCTGCCCTTGCCACCTATTTATGCTACCTGCCAGGACTCTCAAAGTGTCTGAGCGGGGCCACCCTGACGGAAGTTATGCACTCTCTCAGCCAGGGCCAGAGGTCTGTCAGAGGGTTGGAGTGTGCAGACGGCAGAGGTGATGGTGCCTGACCTCAGCAGCTCTTGGTCTTAGGAAGTACCAGGAAAGTTGTATTTGTTGAGGTAGGAAGTACACCTGACATAAAAGCGTTATCCCTTTGCAACACTGAGAACTAAGGGTGCATATAGCTTGAGGAAGAAACCCTTTTGGGTATAATTAGGATCAGAGAACAAAAGAGAGACTGCAGAATGAGTGACAGACAAGCCGCCATGTTTGTAGGGAGCACTGTGTTTGTGGGAAGAGGAGAGCCTTTGGACTCTGAAGCAGCTCATCTGGAAGTGTCCTAGGCATTCACATGCCGGGAGGAACCTCATCCTAATGCCATGGCTGAGTGGGAGAACAGTTTGTTCAGTAACAGTGAAGAAAACAAACTTATAGGCTGTTTGAATCAAAATTAAAATGTTTCATGCACCATTAAAATAAAAAAAGTTTTTGATTAAAGAGCCAGCAAGTTGGGAAGATGAAGAATAACCAGACCGAAGCCTGTGGTAGAGTGTGACCTGGGGAGTTGAGTGCGCATGAGAACAACTCAAGCCACTTTTGCCCTCAGAACCATTGTGGATCTGCATACAGACCTTGGTTTCGCCAGTCTTGAAGGACAATGAACTCAGCAGTTAAAGGACATGGCTTGCCTAAGAGAAGAGAATCACTTGGACACCAGCTGTGTTTGAGTGGAACTCCTGAGGACAAAGGTGAACCAGGAGCTAAAACCATGTCACCCCATTCCCTAGGGACAGACGAGAAGATTGCCTTGGTAATGAGCAGAGCAAAGGAGAGACAGGAAGGTGCCCTGGGGTCACTGGGCAGCTTTTCCACAGGCTTCAAGGTGATTTTCACTTGTCCAACTGGATAGAAGCCTAGATACCCGGAAGAATGATCGGTGTCCTCTAAAGGAAGGCATCTTTTCTTTCTTCCTGTCTTTTTTAACTTTCTGAGGTTACTGAGCTATATAATCAGAAGTAATAAGCCATTCAAAAATCCCATACATATTGAGATAAAAAACAACTGCTAAGAACGAATAGCTTCACAGCTTCTTTATGTCTTATAAATACATAGAGAAAGAAGAACTTGGACTTACGTTTTGAGCAGCTTACTAATGTCTTCAGCAAGTGAGGAGCAGTTGACAGTGGCTTGGAATCAGTAAATGGGCCAATGCACTGAAAAGAGTTTTCGGAAGAGGAAATACGAATGGTCAAAAAATATTTCTTAAAATGTTGAACATCCATAGGTGTCAGGTAAATGTGAATTAATACGACTTTGAGATTCCTTCTCACCCTGGTTAGAATGGCTGTCACCAGCAAATGTGACAACAAACGTTGGTGAGGATGTGGGAGAAAGGGGAACCATTACTCATTATCCATGAAAGTGTAAGTCAGTGGTTATCAGCATGTGGGTCACAACCCCTGGGGGGGTTGTCAAATGACCCTTTCACAGGGGTCACCTAAGACAACTGGAAAACACAGATATTTCTATTATGATTCATAACAGTAGCAAAATTACAGTTATGAAGTCGAATGAAAATAATTTTATGGTCAGGGTCACAGCATTAGGAAGAACCTCTTGTGTAAATGATGCAGCCACTGTGGAAACTGGTATAGAGACTCTTTAAAAAGAAATCTGAAAATAGAACTAGCATGTGACCTAGCTACACCATTCTTGGGGATACACCCAAAGGACTCTGTCCTACTGTAGGATGCCTACTAAACCATGGATTAGCATTTTCCATACATGAAGCCTACACCGCAGTGGACTGATATCTGCCGCTGTAATAGCTGACAAGATAGAAATCTCTGTAGAGAAGACACTTCAAGAAAGATGGGAACATTTCCCAGCACTGCACTGGAGGCAACCTTACTGAGAGATTCCAGATAGATGCTAAGGGTTTTTAAATATGTGGATTAGTGTTGATGCAGATGAATACTGAAGTGAAAAAAAGAAATTTTATATTTTACTACCTAAACTCTGTAGACTTGAAAGTGAGTAAAACAAATAGCTGGGAAGAGGTTTAGGATCCATCACAAAGGGATTTCTGGTTTACCCAGGAGATGGTGACAAATAAGAAATAGTTCTGGGTGGCTCGAAGATGCTTTTTGTGTAGCGCACACACACAAACCACAGGGTCACATTTAAACGCCATTTGAAACCTGTCAGGGAAAAGACTTGATGTGGATGTTCAAGGAGGGTAGCTTCATGCAAAGAAGAGAAAGAGGAAGAAAGCATTTCAAGTGAGGTACATGGAGTGAGCATGGTTTGTAGGAGAGTAAGGGGTTAGGGGTCCAGGCAGTATGGCCAGAGTTAGAGGAGACAGATTAGTAGAATCTTTAAGGATAAATATGAGGGTTAGGAGAGATGGCTCCATGGTTAGGAGTGATACTGCTCTTGCAGAGAACCCATGTTTGGCTCCCAGTACTCATATTAGGGGTGAATCTTACAGCTGCCTATAACTCCAGCTCCAGGGGATCTTACACCCTCAATTACTCTCCACAGGCACTGCACTCATGTGCACAACCCCCACACAGTCATATACATATGCACATATTTAAAAATAGAATAGTTTTAGAAAGAATAAACATGAGCAGATATCTGGGAAAAATCTGGGAAAGAACAGTAGTGGTGTGAATATAAATGCCTGCCTGGTTTTGAACGTTGTATCCTCAAGTAAGGTAACTAAACCCACGTGGTCTTGGCTCAGGATTCTGCTGGGTGTCTGTGGGTTTTACTGCCCAGCGGGAACCATTGTTCTCCCGGCTGAGGGATCCACCATTGTCTTTTGGATGATGGGAAAAGAGCACACCACACAGAAGAAACTGCATCCAGATGACATCATTTGGGTCACATCTGGTTTTTCTTTCATGTCATTTAGAAATAAAGAACCAAAAGTGACCCAAGAATAGACAGAAATATTGGGCATGGGCATTCTGTCTTTTTAGATGCTCCCCCAGGTTTTGCTCTGTATTTCTAACCAGCTTCTAAAATTGAGCCATCCCAAGACTTGCATCTTGGGTATCATCTTCATTCTAAGTGAATGTACCGAGTCTGTGCTGTGGACTACCTCCTTGAACGTGGCTTTTAAGTTTGCATCTCAAATGTTCATTATTCTTCTGATATTCAGACCCATCAATCAGGCTGCCCAGTAAGATTCCCAGTAGGATGTCTAGGACGATCTAAAATGTAGCATGTTTTCTACCAAACCCCCACTGTCTGAGTCTTGCTTCTTTTTGGTTCAAGATCTTAGGCTCATAAACACCACCACCATCTACCCAGCTGTTCAGGACCCTGACCTGAGAGTCAGCCTTGATTCTTTGCTCTCCTGTTCCTCCACATTTAGACAATAGCTAGTCCTGTATCTGACCCCTTCTCTTTACCATTCTCAGCACAGCCCAAGCAGCACCACCACTGGCTTGGACTATTGATATAGCTCTGTAACTGACCTCTACATGTCCTCAAACAGCTGGTTTTACATTTATGTTAAAGTACCATTTAAAAACATGCGTCTGGTCATGTTATTTTTCTGCTCAAAACGAATGTGCTTGTTTTCTTAAAAACAACAGTCAGTGTTCTCCTAATATGCTTGGGGTGACCTACATTGCTAATGTAGTTATAAGACCCCATACAATCTGACCTTGCCTGAATTCCAAGTTGTCTTGTTTTCTCTCTGCTTTGCTACTGGCACACTGCCACCACCTTTGCTTTTCTTAGAATGTGAATCTGTCTCTGCCTGGGGGACTGTGTGCTTCCTCCTTCTGTCTTTTTGTGATTTATGTCACTCAAGCCTCCAACCAGATTAGACTTTCTCAAAGTGGCCTTCTCTAACTATCCTATGTCCAGACTCCCTTTCCTCTTCCACACTTTAGCCTGCCCTGCTTCATCCTTCAGGGCACTTCATAATGCTTTGTTGGTTCTCCTTACTAAAAGACAGCTCCATGAAGCAAGAACACCATCTTATTTAACGCCGTACCACTGGAATATTGCTTGGGTTGTAGCTTGAGCCAATGCATTTTTTGAATGACTGAGATAATTATATAATTTTATAGGAGATTTATTATCCAATGAATGGACTTATAGAAGATGCACCCTAAATTACAAGATGAGTTTAGGGCTGACACATTTGACAATTGACAATTTAGATAGAGTGAAATAATTTTTTGAAAAAACCTGTTATGCCAAAACCAACCCATGAAGAAATAGAAAGAATGAACAGCAATATTAAAGAATTGATTTCATTGTTAAAGATCATATGCCGACAGACTGCAGGTGGTCTCCGGGTGAAGTCATCTAGGCATTGGAAAGAAAGACTGACATCAGTCTTCAGTACTCTTCCAGAGAGGAAAAGCACGGGGAGCGTTTCACTGCCCAGTCTCTCAATCAATCAATCAATCAATCAAACAAACAAACAACAAACAAACCCCACTCCAAAACATTGCAGGAACATTACAGTAAAAGGAAGCTGAAAAGGGTCAGTGAGATGGCTCAGTGGTTGACAGTGCTTGCTGCTCTTTCAGAGGACCTGAGTTCAGTTCTACACCAGGCATCTCACAGCTCCAGGGGTCCATCTCTGTGCTCTTCAGTACTCTTTAGGTACCTGCACACACATACTGCACACACACATACTGCACACACACTATACACATACCTCACACACACTGTGCATACACACTGCACACATACTGTACACATAGTGCACACAAACTGCACACACACTGCATACACACACAACCTGTTTTCAGACAATTGAAGATCAAATTTTTATGGGCCTATATTTACAAATCTTAAAATATAACCTAATGAATTCATCAGTATATAAATGACCAGAAAATCATAACCAATGGGGTAAGTTTTAGGAATTCAGGAGAAGTTAAACACTTGAAAACAAATTAAGGTAATTTCCTCTAGTAATAGAATATAGTAGAAAAATACAATCATCTCAGTAGACATAAAAAAGGTTTGATGAAATTCAGTATTATTCATGATTTTGTCTGAACCAAGGAATCTTAATCTGATAATGGGTACCTAAAATAAGCATCCTGTCAATGGTGATAATTTGAGATATTGAAAATTCTTTATTATAAGATGTCTGGTAACCCCATTTATATTGAACATTGCATTTGAAATCTTAGTTACTGTCCCAAGACCAGAAAAGAAGTAAAGGCCTAGGAATTGGAAAACTCATTACAGAGACACAATATGATTGTGTACCTTGAAAATCTAAAAGAATCTATAGATAAATTATTGAAATTAAGTAAGTTTAACAAGGTTTCTGGATACAAGGTCAGTCAATCATTTGTAGTTGGCCATTCTTAGTGGTATATGTTATATTCCTAGCTGCTCAAAAGGCTGGAGCAGGAGGACCACTTGAGCCTCAGATTTCAAGGCCAGTCTGGGCAGCATAGCGAGACCCTTTCTCAAAAACAAAATAAAACATAATATCAAGAAACAAATTGTTCAGGAGCTGGTGAGATGCCTCAGCAATTAAGAACACGGACTGCTTTTCTAGAGGACCCAGGTTTAAATTTCGTCACCTGCATGGTGGCTCAGCTGTCTGTAACTCCAGTTCCATGGGACCCAGTACCCTTTTCTGGCCTGTGCAGGCCATACACATGTATGGTACATAGACACACATGCAGGAAAAACACCTTTACATATAAAATAAAAATAGATCTTTGAAAGAACCAACTCTATAATCACACATAATAATGACAAAATTAAAATGAAATTTAAAACATACAATTTACAGGAATCCCCCCCCCCACCAACCCCTCAAATTCATGCGAACAAATGCAGTTAAGATGGGCAACATCTCTATGCTGAAGTTTCTATTACTCTGTGAGGAGAGTAATATGAGAAATTTTGAGTAGACAGATATACTATGTTCATAGATTGATTGTAAAATCTGGTGACAAGAGAACGCTGAGGTGAAGATAGTCATGAAGAGAAAGGAGGAGGCTAGGAGAGCCATACTCTCAGGTGTTGGGCGATTATAAAGCTATTGTATTGATGCTAGTGCGGTGGTGCTCATGATGGATAAGCACGCGGCCCTGCCGAGGAACATGCAGTTGTCCCTTGCCTTCCGGTTGGGGTGGATCTAGCAAAAACCAGATTAACAAGAGAGAAAGACGCAAGTTTATAGTGTGTGTGAGCACA